GTGAGAGAGAGAGAGAGAGAGAGAGAGCTTGCTTTTGAAATTAAAAAAGAAAAAAAGAAAGGAAAAAGTTAAGGGCCAAGTTGGCAGCTTGACGACGGAGACTTGCGCACTGGCTGCTTAAGGACCACAAAGTAATACAAAATAAAAAAAGGAATAAATTTAATAAAAGGGCTGGCCACCATCAACTTGACATGCACCATTCTGCTAAAAAACAAAAACGCAACTTGACTTGGATGCATGCAAGGCCCTGCGATTGTGACAGACTTACAGCAGCCGCGTCTGGGCGCAAATTTATGTTTATTTATCACTGTATTGCAAACCAGTGTATTATTAAAATTATTATTTAAACCCTGCGTTTTTTACTTACTCAATTGATCATCTGTCGGGTCACGGGACCGGATTATTGTTCAGCATTTTCCCCGAGGTTTCGACTCTGTTCATGTCAAATAAAAGGTAATCTCTCTTTCTGGGAACCAAGTCCCAAATAATTCTTTCCTCCACGACGCAATGAATCTCTTCCTAGCCACCTTTCTCCTCCTCTCCCTTACGCGGCGGGCGCTGTCCTTCAACTTCACCAGCTTCACCGCCGGCGATAACCGCATCAGCTTTGAGGGAGCGGCGGCCGTCGACGTGAGCCATGCCATCGAGCTGACTACCAGCAGCGACACCATCAGCCGAGCCACATATGCCGACCCGCTCCGCCTCTGGGACAAGTCCTCCGGCGACCTCACCAGCTTCGCCACCAACTTCTCCTTCGTCATCGACTCTCAAAACCGGTCCAACTACGGCGACGGCCTGGCCTTTTTCCTCGCCCGGCCGGGCCGTCCCGTATCCCAGATGGCGTGACTCGGGCCGGCCGGTTTGGGCTCACCACCGACGACGAGATGTTTAACTCCACTGACCATCCCTTCGTCGCCGTCGAGTTCGATACCTACCAGAACGATTACGACCCTATTGGGACCCATGTGGGCATCGATGTCATGTCGATCAGATCTGTTAATAACATCTCATGGTGGAGCAGCGTGAAGGACGGGAAGACGAATGAAGCTTGGATCCGATACGATTCCGGGTCGAAGAACCTGAGCGCCGTCTTCACGGGCTTTAAGAACAACACCAGGATATTACAAGGGCTCTCCTACGTGGTAGATTTGAGAGAGTATTTGCCCGAATGGGTCACGTTCGGATTTGCGGCGACAACCGGATCTAATTACGCGGTTCAGGTGGTCGAATCATGGAGTTTCAGCTCGACTCTGTCGACCCGAAGAAATCCCGAGTGGGATTGGCAGTCTGGCTGGGCGTTGGAGCGGGAGTGGCCTGCGGGTTGGGTTTAATACTGTCCGCGATTTTACTTCGGAACAGGAAACGAAGACACAAAGATAGGCACGAGATTGACGTGGGGATGGAGGAACAGCTCGAAAGAGGAAGTGGACCGAGAAAATTCAAGTACAATGTGTTGGCTCGCGCAACGGCCAATTTTTCAGAAGAAAACAAGCTTGGGGAGGGAGGATTTGGGGGAGTTTATAAAGGTTTCTGAAAGAATTGAATACTCGAGTGGCCGTGAAGAGAATTTCAAAAGGATCGAAACAGGGGACGGCGGAGTACGCGTCGGAAGTGAAGATTATAAGCAGCTTGAGGCACAGAAACTTAGTTCAGCTCATAGGATGGTGCCACGAGAAGAGAGAGCTTTTGCTTGTTTATGAATTTATGCCCAATGGAAGCTTGGATTCTCATCTGTATGCGGACAAATTGTTGTTGCCTTGGGCCACAAGGTACAAAATTGTTCAAGGGTTGGCATCTGCCTTGCTGTATCTGCATGAAGAATGGAGCTGTGTGTGGTGCATAGAGATATTAAGACGAGTAATATTTTGTTGGATTTGAACTTCAATGCTAAGCTAGGAGACTTTGGGCTCGCCAGGCTTGTCGATCATGAGAAAGGATCTCAAACCACGAACTTGGCAGGAACCATGGGCTACATGGCTCCTGAGTCTTGCATAACAGGTAAGAATAGCAATTCGTGTCCTTTAGTTGTCTGATTTGTGAGCCATTATATTTGTATTTTATCCATAAATTTGTTTCGTTTTAGCATTGTGTTAACTTAGCTTAAGCCCCGTTATCTCCTAAATTAACAGGTAAGGCTAGCAAGGAAACAGACGTATTCAGTTTCGGCGTCGTGGCGTTGGAAATCGCATGTGGAAGAAAACCAATCAACCACAAGTTACCGGAGACCGAGATTATTCTGGTGGAGTGGGTTTGGGGGCTCTATGGAATGAGGAAACTTGTTGAAGCTTCCGACCCGAAGCTGGGATCGGAGTTTGTAGAGCAAGAAATGGAGAGATTGATGGTGGTAGGGCTCTGGTGTACTCATCCTGACAACAAGCTTCGGCCTTCTATGAAGCAAGTGATTCAAGTTCTTGAATTTGAGGCTGCTCTGCCAGTCCTGCCGTCGGAGATGCCGTGGCGACGTACATGGATCCTTTTATGGCTAGATTCACTTATGTTTCTGAAAGTAACAATAGTCACAACTGTCATTCATCCATCCTCTCTGCATCCCCTTTTGCCCTTCTGCTTCCTCGTCGAGGACTCCGCTTTAAGACAGATTGACTTGTTGAACTTCTGGTTCTGAATTTTGATTTTCAAAGGGTGCATATTTTAAGATTTTGGCCATGTCCCTTATACGTTGTACATGGCTCAGATTGTAAAAAAGAATTATTTATTTTGGTTTCAAAAACAAAAAGAACGATTGTTGGTGTTTTGTAGTTCGCATTATTTGAAGTTGTCAAAAGTTAAAAGAGAGTGAAGCTTTTTATAAGAAGGATACACTTTCCCTTTTTCCTTTTTTTTTTTTATTTTTTGGAAACAAAAGTCATTTCTGAATCAATGTGAGACCCAAAGCCTGTATAATTGAGAATCACTATTCCCAACCGATTTAACACCACGACCAAGAACAGTCGACGGCTCTGCACAAACCATCTCTGGGCTATACACCCCAAAACCCGAATGAATTGAGGCCGCCCGCCACTAACTGGGAAAGGAGGGCCAAGCAAAGTCTTGTACATACCAAAACAGACCCACTAATAAACTGAATCTAAAACAGTCCAACAAAGACGAAGACCCACGGAGGATCGACCCAACAACCTGGGCCGCTGGACAACCTACAGCTGGCGATGACAACGGGATTGGCATGCCACCCGTACCAAAGTACACATATTCGCACTCGACTAGGAAATTTGCGCTCATATATGTTCATTATGAGTTAAGTATTAATATTAATTCCAACTTTTATCTGCGTGAAATAATGTTATATTCGTTCTTATACTTATATATACATATGTTTGAATATAATTTATTTTTTAAAAATTAAAATATTTTTATTATTACTAAATATATTTTTTAGTATATAATTTATATATATATATATATAGATTTAGAAAAATTATAATAAAAATCTCTAAACTCATAACTGTTATTATTTTTTGTTATCTATACTCGGTTTGAATTGAGTAAAATTGACAGGTATCTATCATATATAAATAACATTACCATTTCTATATCCATAGCACCAAAACACTGCCTACAAAAAAAGTGGCATCCATGCCTGGTTCAGATTAAGTAAAAACTGCCATCCTTTGCGTCGCTAAACTCTCTTTTTTAGGTTTATTTTTCTTTTAAAAGAAAGATACGTAAGAAAGTCAGCTTTAGTCAAATAGATTTCCTTTGAAAATTGATTTTTATTCAACTAATTCCTTTACGTAAACAGTTTATCATGAACTGATTTTTAAATATTCAAATAAATCTATCATAATAAATAATTTTAAGAAAAAATACATTATAATAAATTACAAAAATCAATTTTAATATAAAAGCAAAACCTTTATTTATATAAAATTTCTATTTTTATAGTGAGTTTTTAGACACTTTAATAAAATTTAACTTCCTTTTTCATCGTTTTCAAACTATTTTAATTTTTTAAATTTATTTTTTTATTTGTGATTGCAACAGATCTTTACAAACATGTTATCATTTCATTTCGACAAAATCCCAAAGAATTTTTTCTTATTTTGATTTATTTTAAATAATTTTTGTTCAACTTGACTTGTTCAAATTTGTATTACATCATTCACCAAGTCTTCCCAGTCATTCCACTTATCACGGCTACGGTGGTTTCATCGTCCATTTGTCTGCCTTTGCCTCTGGATGGATTCATCCTTTCTCTTGTCTGATATTCCATTATTCACCAAGTTTCCCAGTCATTCCACTTAAGGGTGAATCCATCCAGAGGCAGAGGCAGAGGCAGAGAAATGGGCCATGGAAGTTGGATTTGAGGTTGACCAAGTCCGAAACCACCTGTAAATTATTCTAAAGTCGAGCAGTTTTAATTAAACTCTTAAAACAGGATTTAATAAGTGTAAATAATTAAAAATTTATAACCTACTTTCATCACCAAGTTTAATTAAATAATAAAGCAGATGTATCTACATTCAATATTTTTAAATTTTATTTTATCTAAACTCACTTTTTTCAAATTCACTCTTTTAAAATTTATTTTTTTTCTAAACTTATTTTCTTTGAATTTATTTTATTTAAACCCATTTTTTTTAAAATTCATTTTATCTAAACTCACTTTCTTTAATTTACTTTTTATAAATTAGTTTACTTAATTCACTTAATATAGAAAAATAAATATAAGAGATTTTAAAAAATACAAGTCTTCCTACTCATTCCACTTATCACGGCTACGGTGGTTTCATGGTCCATTTGTCTACCTTTGCCTCTGGATGGATTCATCCTTCTTCTTGTCTGATATTCCATCATTCACCAAGTCTTCCCAGTCATTCCACTTAAGGATGAATCCATCCAGAGGCAAAGGCGGAGAAATGGGCCATGGAATTTGGATTTGAGCTTGACCAAGTCCGAACCACCTGTAAATTATTCAAAAGCAGAGAAGTTTAATTAAACTCTTAAAGCAGGATTTAATAAGAGTAAATAATTAAAAATTTATAACCTACTTTCATGGCCAATTATGATTAAATAATAAAGCACATGTATCTACATTTAATATTTTTAAATTTATTTTATCTAAACTCACTTTTTTTCAAATTCACTCTTTAAAAATTTGTTTTTATCTAAACTCATTTTCTTTGAATCTATTTTATTTAAACCCATTTTTTTGAAAAAAATTCTTTTTATTTAAACTTACTTTCTTTAATTTACTTTTTATAAATTAGTTTACTTAGTTCACTTAATATAGAAAAATAAATCACAAATGAACTTGAAAGGTAGTTTTTTACTTATTTTTTTAACCAATAATTTGCAAGTGGCCTATTCACATTGCACACGACACGGGATGACGAGGTGATCTAAACTCATATTATATACTTTCTAAAAATGACTGTTTCCTTTAAATTTTATTTTCTTATCTTAGGGTTAATATGGAGTTTTAAAATCATAATTTGTCATTATAATTGAAAATAAACAAACTATTAATACTAATTAAATGCTCCTCAAAGGTTTTTGTTAGATTAGAAATTTGAATCTCGCTTTGTATCTTTTCTTCCCTTGAAAAAAAGAAATAAAATTTACAATTGTAAAAAATTATAAAAATTAATGAAAGGGCTAGTTTGCAACTTGACGATGCCATCACGTAGAAAATAAAGACACAACTTGACTTCAGTTATGAAAACCACTTATTAATAATACCATTTCTTCGTTGACTTCAGATTTATGTGATGATCATGTTAAAGATAATTCCTAGTAATTATCTTAGATTAGGGTTTAATTTCTATGTAATTATCTTTAGAGAAATTAGAGTTTTACTAGGATTATAATTCCTATTAGAACTAGGATTAGTTTTCCTATAACTAGGACCTTTTGTAATCATTCATGTTCATGGAATAAAGTTTGAGTATTAGTTTTCCATCAGTGGTATCAGAGCCAGGTTCCTAAGATCCTTCTGCAGTAAGGACCTAAGTGAAGAAATTGAGAGATTGAGAGTTAAAATTCTAAGTCTTTTCCACAGAGGGACTTAGGTGAAGAAATTGCAAATTCAGGGGCTTGAACTTGAATAGATCAGGAACTGGATTTGAAAACTGAAAAGTAGAGGGAACAAACTGCAATTTGGTCATCCCCTACCTTGAAGCAGATCCGACAGATCCAAGGAGATCCGTCTGGACCGAGGCAGATCCATCCACCTACTGTAGACCCGTCCGGCTGAAGCAAATCCGACAGACCCAAGGAGATCCGTTTGGACTGAGGCAGATCCGTCCACCTGCTGCAGACCCGTCCGGCTAAAGCAAATCTGACAGACCCTAAGTAGTTTCTACTTGTTGCAGATCCATCCGGTTGTTGCAAACCTAGCCGACTGAAGCAAATCTGTCCAACCTTTGCAGAAATCGACGGACCTGAAGCAAACCCATTGCAGTTGCAAATCCGCAAGCCCGAAGCTGAAGCAGATCCGTCCACCACACTGCGGATCCATCCGAGACCCGAAGCTGTCCAAAGCTGAAGCAGATCCATCCGAACGGTTCAAGACCGACGCACTCGATCTAAAGCAGATCCAGCAGAACAGTTTGATCCGGTCGAAGCTGAAGCAGATCCGTTCACCACACTGCGGATCCATCCGAGACCCGAAGCTATCCAAAGCTGAAGCAGTCCATTCGACCCAAGCTGAAGTATATCAATCCAGATCCAAAGCTGTTCCAACCGAAGCAGATCTGTCCAAGACAGTTGCAGAAGCTGATCAAACCGAAGCAGATCCAGACACTGCAGCAGTCCAAATCTGCAGATCAGAAGAGTCTCTACCTGACCGGCCCGCATGAAACAGGTCGACCTGACCCGTCTGAATCGAGTTGACTCGGACTGGTTCATCAGAAACGGTCCAACTAAACCAGATTGCTTGAACCAGCTGAATCTAAACCGGAAGATCTGAACCAAACTATCCAAAACACCCAGAATTGAACCGGATCACTTAAGGAAAAATCAAAAAGGCTTCCAATGGCGTCCGACAGCTTCATACAACCCGCCATTCCACGGTTTGATGGACATTATGACCATGGAGCATGTTGATGGAGAATTTCTTGAGATCCAAAGAATACTGGCAGGTGGTTAGTGAAGGTATTACAGAACCTTCATCCAAAACTGAAGGCGGAGCAGAACCATCAACACCAACAGTGTTGACAGCCGTCCAAAGGTCAAAATTGGAGAGTTTAAAACTGAAAGACCTGAAGGCCAAAAACTATCTCTTCCAAGTAATAGACCGAACGGTCTTGGAGACTATTCTCAACAAGGAGACTTCAATGGACATATGGGACTCCATGAAAAAGAAATATCAAGGCTCATCAAGAGTGAAGTGTGCACAGCTTCAAGCCTTGAGACGAGACTTTGAGATTCTCGAGATGAAAGACGGTGAGTCTATCATGAGCTATTTTTTTCCGAACCATGGAGATTGTTAACAAGATGCGATTTCAAGGAGAGAAGATGGAAGATGTCACCATTGTTGAAAAGATCTTGCGCTCCCTGACACCGAGGTATGATTTTGTTGTTTGCTCCATTGAGGAATCTAAAGATCATGATTTACTCTCAGTTGATAAACTCCAAAGCTCCTTTCTGGTACACGAGCAAAAGTTGACCCGAAGTTCAACTAAGGAGGAGCAAGCCCTTAAGGCCTATACTCCTTCCCGATCTTCGAACTCTAGAGGAAGAGGTCGAGGAAGAGGAAGAGGTAGAGGTAAAGGAAGAGAAGGACAGAGTTCCAGAGACAGAGACAAACAACAGGAACAGCATTCAAAAGCCAACAATAACCAAGGCCGAGGGAGATGACGACATAACAAATCCAAGGTCAAATGTTATAGATATCACAAATTCGGCCACTACAGTTATGACTGTTACACCAAAATGCCAAATAAAGAAAGATGGGAGAAAACAAACTTTGCAGAACAACAGGAATAGCAGCATGATGCTGAAACCATTCTGATGGCCACCCACGTCACAAACCATCCGAATCAGATGTATGGTATGTAGACACGAGATGCAACAATCACATGTGCAGAAGTAAGTCACTTTTCTCAAATCTAAATGAAAATTTTCAATCAACTGTTTGCTTTGGTGATAGCTCTGTAGTTGATGTACTCGGAAAAGGTGATATTAACATCCGCACCAAGAATGGCTTTGTAGAAACCATCTCCAACGTATTCTATGTGCTAGACCTGAAAAGTAACTTGTTGAGTGTTGGACAACTGCAAGAGAAGGGTTATGTAATAGCCATCCAGAAAGGATCATGTGAGATATATGATCCTAAAAGAGGAGCCATTACTGCCATTAAGATGAGCACAAACAGGTTATTTCCCTTAAAATTTCAACATGCTCCTTCCTGTTTCTTGACCGAAATCAAGAATTCATCTTGGCTTTGGCATTACCGATATGGGCACCTAAACTTTGGAGGATTAAGGACTCTCCAACATAAGAATATGGTTAAAAGTCTTCCTCAGATTATAGCTCCTTCACAAGTTTGTGAGGACTGTGTTGTTGGCAAACAACCTCGCTCTCAGTTCCCTCAAGAAAAATCATGGAGAGCAAAGAAAGTACTAGAATTGATCCATTCTGACATTTGTGGCTCTATCACTCCGACTTCCAACGGTGGTAACTGTTATTTTATTACTTTCACCGATGATTATTCTAGGAAAACTTGGGTCTATATTTTGCAGGAAAAATTAGAAGCTTTTGGGATATTCAAAAGTTTCAAGGCACAAGTGAGAAAGAGACAAGGAGAGCCATAAAAACTCTAAGGACTGACCGAGGTGGAGAATATTGCTCCAAGGAGTTCAATGCCTTCTGTGACAACCAAGGCATTCGAAGGGAGCTTACTGCAGCCTATTCACCTCAACAGAATGGAGTCTCTGAGAGGAAGAATAGAACCATTCTCAACATGGTTCGTAGCATGATCACCAAAGGAAGAATCCCGAAAACCTTCTAGCTTGAGGCAGTTAATTGAAGTGTTCATGTGCTGAATAAGAGCCCTACTTTTTCTGTCCTCAACATGACACCAGAACAAGCATGGAGTAGGAGAAAGCCATCTGTTGACCACTTCAAAATCTTTGGGTGCATCGCATATGCACATGTTCCTGATCAGAAAAGAAAGAAACTGGATGACAGAAGTGAAAAGTGTGTCTTCCTGGGGATAAGTGAAGTTTTCAAGGCATTTAAGCTTTACAATCCAGTCACTAAAAGGATTGTAATCAGCAAGGACGTTGTTTTTTACGAGGGAAACACTTGGAATTGGAGTGATGATGTTTCTAGGCAACAGCCTATGCAGGTCAGTTTTGATGATAAAGACACAGACCCATCATCTCCTCAACAAATTCAAACATCTGGCAAACACACCATTCAGATTGACCCTACAAAAGAGCCTCAACAACGTCCCAGAAAGAAACCTAACTGGATGCAAGACTATGTAAAAGGTGAGGGGTTATCTGATGATGATATTGCTCACTTGCCTTATTTGCAGATTGCAATCCTATTAGATTTGAAGAAGCTACTAAGGATCCAAAATGGCAAAAAGCAATGGATGAAGAGATCAGGGCCATTGAAAAGAACAACACTTGGGACTTGGTAGACCTTCCAGCAGGACAAAAAGCCATCGGAGTCAAATGGATTTACAAAACCAAACTAAATAAGGATGGCAGCATCAACAAGCACAAGGCCTGACTTGTTGTAAAAGGGTACAAGCAGGAATATGGAGTTGACTATAAGGAGGTGTTTGCTCCAGTTGCTCGCCTTGACACCATCTGACTGGTATTATCCATGGCTGCACAGAAGTCATGGCCTATCTATCAGCTGGATGTAAAATCAGCCTTCCTGCATGGAGACCTACAAGAAGAGGTATATGTTGATCAACCTCTTGGATATGCCAAGCATGGCAATAAGCATAAAGTTTACAAGCTCAAAAAAGCTCTATATGGTTTAAAACAAGCCCCACGGGCTTGGTACAGTCGTATTGAAGCTTATTTCACCGAGCAAGTTTCCAGAAGTGCCTTTATGAAACATACTCTCTTCACAAAGACTCATGACAATGGAAGTATACTTATGGTATGTCTGTACGTGGATGACCTCATCTACACTGGAAATGACAAAGGTATACTTGCTGAATTCAAAGAGAATATGATGTCAGAATTTGAGATGTCAGACTTAGATTTGATGCATTACTTCCTTGGTATTGAGGTTTCTCAGTCATCACTTGGAATCTTTGTTTCACAAAAAAAATATGTTCTTGAGATTTTGGATAGATTCCAGATGAAGGATTGCAATCCAGTTAGCACACCCACTGAATATGGTCTCAAGCTCAAAAGAGATGATGAAGGGAAGAAGGTGAATCCCACAGTCTATAAACAGATGGTTGGATGTTTGATGTACTTAACCACAACAAGACCGGACATTATGTATAGTGTCAGTTTAATAAGCCGGTACATGGAAAATCCATCTGAAAATCATCTCTTAGCTGTCAAAAGGATTCTGTGATACTTGAAAGGTACAGTTGACTTTGGAATCCTTTATTAGAAAGGAGATAATGAAGATTTGCTACTTGGCTTTACAGATAGTGATTATGCTGGAGATATTGATAACAGAAAGAGTACATTAGGTTATGTATTTATGATGAGTTCTGGAGCAATCTCTTGGTCATCCAAGAAACAACAAATAGTTACTTTATCTTCTACAGAAGCTGAGTACATTGCTGCAACAACATGTTCCTGTCAAGCTATCTAGTTAAGGAAGTTGATGGAAACACTTCAAAGCAAGCAGATGGGACCAACTACCATCTTTTGTGATAATGCTTCAGTAATCAAGATTTCCAAGAATCCAATGTTACATGGGAGAAGCAAACACATAGATGTTCGTTATCACTTTCTACGTGATCAATGCAATAGTGGTGTGATCAACCTTGAGTTTTGTCCAAGTGGTGAACAAGTTGCAGATATCATGACCAAACCCCTCAAACAAGACATGTTTGTGAAGCTTCGATCAAGACTCGGGATGATTTCAGTTAAGGACATCTCTCTAAATTGATTTCCGTAGCTATCAGTTTAAGGGAGAGTGTTAAAGATAATTCCTAGTAATCATCTTAGATTAGGATTTAATTTCTATGTAATTATCTTTAGAGGAATTAGAGTTTTACTAGGATTATAATTCCTATTAGAACTAGGATTAGTTTTCCTATAAATAGGACCCTTTGTAATCATTCATGTTCATGGAATAAAGTTTGAGTATTTGTTTTCCATTAGATCAATCACCCACGCTGAAGATCACTTCTCATTGTTGAACATCCCCAAAGACCAATTCAACAACCTTGGCCTGTTAAAAAATAAAGCTCTCTTCTCTTACATCTTGAATTTCGCTCACAGCCATGGGACTCCGGGGCCTTTGGCTTGACAATCTCTTTCCCAACTTTCTGCTATTTTCCCTCTTCACCACTATACTTCACTTCGCACAATTCGTCCATCCTCTGCTCTGAGCTTCGACCTTACCAACATAAACCCACAAGATCAGAAAGTGCACATCAAAACCTACCAAGATGCTTATATCCACCCCCCCTAAGGCATCCAGGTCACTAGCAATGAGTCGCTGAACGTGGGTAAGGCCGTGTACGCTCAACTCCTCCACCTCTGGGACAAAGCCCAGGAAATCTCACGAACTTCACCACCCCCTTTGTCTTCGTAATTGATTCGATGAATAGTTCATCTTTTGCAGATGGTCTTGCCTTCTTCTTAGCTCCCGTCGGTGGCAATTTAAATAGTGGAGGTGCCATGGGGCTTCCCACAAGCTCTTTTTTGGCTGTAGAGTTTGATACATATCAGAACAGTTGGGACCCTCAGAACATTAATCCTGTTACCCATGTAGGTATTAATATCAACTCTTTTACATCTACTATTACGGCAATTTGGTATAATGATATGCCTCATGGGATAGAGAATGAGGCTTGGATAAGTTATGATTCTGGTTCCAAGAACTTGAGTGTGATCTTCGCCGGTTTTAAAAACAATACCAGAATTAAAAGAAGCCTCCATTTACTAGTTGATCTAAGTTACTTGCCAGAATGGGTTCAATTTGGTTTCTCAGCTTCAACAGGATCCGGTTTCGAGAAAAATAGTGTGAAGTCATGGCAGTTTACTACTAGGAATCTAGAATCTCCTCCACCTTTGTCGCTGGGAAAGAACAAAGGGAAGAAGAATAGATGGGCTCTTGCAGTAGGGTTGGCCGTTGGATTGTGTGCTTTAGTGGGTTTGATTGGATTTGGCTTGTGGAAGAAGAGAAGAGGAAAAGAAGAGGAAACTTTTGGTTTTGATCTGTCCATGAACAGTGAATTTGAGAGGGGTAGTGGGCCGAAGAAGTTCTCCTACAATCAGCTATCTCGATCAACTAATTATTTTGCAGAAGAATGTAAGCTTGGAGGGGGTGGCTTTGGAGGGATCTGTAAGGGCTTCTTAAGGGAACTTAACTTCTATGTAGCTGTGAAGAGGATCTCAAAAGGGTCAAAGTAAGGGATAAAAGAGTACACATCAGAAGTAAAGATCATCAGTCGCCTGAGGCATAGGAACTTGGTGCAACTCATTGGGTGGTACCATGGAAAGAAAGAACTCCTTGTCTATGAGTTCATGGAAAATGGAAGTCTAGATACCCATCTCTTTAAAGAGAAGAAAACCTACTTGAATTGAGCCACTAGGTATAAAATTGCACAAGGTTTAGCCTCAGCTCTGCTTTATCTACACGAAGAATGGGAACAATGTGCGGTCCATAAATATATAAAGTCAAACAAAGTCATGCTAGGTTCAAACTTCAATGCTGAACTTGGTGATTTTGGGTTGGCTAGACTTGTTGATCATGAAAAGGGGCATCAAACAATGGTTCTGGCAGGAACAATGGGGTCCATGGCACCTGAATGTGCAGTCACAAGCAAAGCTAGTAAAGAATCAGATATGTATAGTTTTGGGGTAGTATCACTGGAAATAACTTGTGGGAGGAAACCCATCGATATAAGGATGGAATGAAGAGAGTAAGATCAGGATGGTAGAGTGGGTGTGGGAGCTATATGGAAAAGGAAGCTTCTCGAAGCCGTGGGCCTGACGCTCTGTGAGCAGTTTGAGGAGCAAGAAATGGAGCACTTGATGGTTGCTGGGCTCTGGTGTGCTCACCCAGAACACAATCTGAGACCCTCAACCTGGCAGGTTGAGCAATTCCCGAGGCTCCATTACCAAATTTGCCAGCAACAATGCCGGTCTCAACATACCTTTGTCCTCTGAATGCTCATGAGAGTGGCCAAAGCCAAACCTAGTCTTCTAGCTATGGTATGAATTCTTCAATTGCTTCTTCTCCATCTGCATCACTTTTGTATGTTAAAAAAAAAATTAGTGTAATGAAAATTAAAAAACCTAAATTCACAAGTTGAGCTTTAGCATGGTTTGAATTCAATTTGGACTATCCAAAAGTTAAAAACAGTGCTTTAAGGGAGCTTTGTATTCGAGTCAAGTCTTAGGACTCAAAAATTAATTCAAATGAGCACTTTCGGTTCATATTATACTAAAAAATTAATTCAAATGAGTACTTTCCGTTCATATTATCCTAATTTTCTTTGTAGAATATACTATAGTTGAAGTAGTCACTTTTTTTTCCCATAATTTGCAAAGTAGAAATGTCTTTCAATCAATTAGTTCAAACACGAAACCATGTAGAATAACTGTTGTAACCAAATAAGTGACCGTATATACTTGAAAAGAGAAAAACAAAGAAGAATGCAGAAATTTTATTTTTCAAGCATCACACTTCGGATATAGTTAGCTGCTAGTTTTAAATTTTTTGGATGATGAATCAATTAGATTGGTCCCCTTAAATTTATAGGAAACTATCGGGTTGTGCTCTTACTTTGAACTCTATATTTGTATGTATTTTGGGATTTCCACCTTACTAAAAGACATACATTAAAGTAAAAGACCCTTTTTTTTTACAAAATTAAAAAAAAAAAAAAAGATAAAAGAAAAAAAGTATACCTTTTGTTAGGGTACTTGCATTCAAACCAAATGAAATTTTTTTAGCAAGGTAATTTAACCAAGTCCTTATCTTCTAAGCACTTATCATGTATAGTAATATCACTGTACTATGTCACAACTTGACCATAGGCTCGTGACTGATACTAGAACCTACCAACCTTAGTAAACCTCACAACACCAAATCATACTAATATAATATCCACATCTTCAAAGTAGGATCCTATCTAAGAGTACAAAAGAGTTATTCTAAAATATAAAAGTAGAAAAATGCAAAAAGAGTGCCTGTACATCAATCGATCTACCAATACGCATTTCGGTTCTAGCACACTAAACAAGACGAGAAACCGCACACCAAATCTGGAATGCAAATAAAATGTGAGTCGCGAAACTCAGTAAGAACAAATGATACCTAATATATGCATGTTGAGATATGTATCACACCATATATCAAAATCGTACATATATATATATATATAGTGGGCAACATATCAAAACAAGTATGTAATGGTATCATTATAACCAATCATCATATCACATCACTAAACCTAGGACACTCTCCAGATGCTACGGCCCATTATCAGTCGACTAAGCCTCTAGCATCCAAATCACATCACAATAGTACATAACAAGTTCGTGGCCTTGCCGCCTCATACTAGACCCAGGGTACTCCCTGGATGCTACAACCCACCATCCGCCTGTTGAGCCCCTGGCGTTCCCAATCACATCACTAAACCCAGGGCGCTCCTTGGACACTACGACGCACCGTCCTCTAACTGAGCCCTTGGCATCCCAAACTCATCACATGATACCATCCCACACATGAGTCAAAAATAGATATACATACATATACAATTCATATCTCAAAAACTGAGGTTAACACACGAACATAACTCACTAACTGTTCACAAATCATATAACACATATCTCGTATGTAACACATACCAAAATACAATTTTCAAAACATATAATTAGTCATGCCAAAAAATCATAGTAGGAAAACGCATACATAGAGAGGGTATTATCACTCTAGGTGCACCTTTACAAGAGTATCTGTAATCAAAACCATACAAAATCACCATCGGCACCAAAATTGGCAAAAAAAAAAAAAAAGGACTCACCAGCCTAAAACCAGGCTCAAATCCCATCCTAGAATACTAACATGCATTCAAGGCTCACTATTCATCACCTGAGACCCACACGACTCATGAACACTCATCAAAACCATAGTGAACCGTTCTCCAAAACCGTCGAATCGGCCTAAAATTGCCTCAAACTAAACTAAACTAGCCATGAAATCCTTAAAATTGAATTGCACTGGTTCTAAAATCCTAGGAACTAGTCTGAACTAGCTAGAAAACCCCTAAACTAGGCCAAAAACCCTAATTTATAACCTCATGCACTAAACCAACCCAATTTTCCCACTGAACTGGCCAGGTTTCTGATGAACAAAACTATCTTTAGGTGTGAATTGGTATTACCTACCCAAAACTGGTTTAACACTCCAAAGAACCAACCTAAAAATTAGTAAATTGGCCCTTAAACCAAAATTGTCTTAAACTGGAACCCTAGTTAATATTAAATTATTTAATTTAAGATTATCTAATTCCCTCAATCATGTTCCTGTGTTTGATGTACCTTGGGATAGCCTATCTCGATTCCAAACAAAGTCAACCCCATTAGATTAACTTTGAAATTTTCATCACTGGGCCAAGTTGACTCATGGAGTCAACTTAGCCCAATCACCTTTTTTGGGTCAGTCCACGGCCTCGGCCCAAGCCCAGGCCCATGGGGCCGCGACCCAACTAGACGAGTCCAGGCCCAACGACCTAAACTAGCCCAACACGGGACCTAGATCTATTCGGGTCCCTTTTTCTTTACCTGGAAAAACAAACTGAAACCACCTTTAGGTTTGCAAAACAACTTGGAGCACAGAACTTGAAAAATAAAAACGATTTAAGTCTGTACCTGAAGCAATCAAAGACTTAAACTTGTAGGAATGAATTAGGCGATCCTCAAGGGGCTTTTAATCGGATTAAAACCAACTAAAATAGCTCAAATCTTCAGAAATTTCAACTTAGCCGCGTACAACCCGGCCAACTTGAAAACTTACTTGATCTCCCTCAAACCTCACTTGATTTTTACAATTGATTGAGGGGTTTGGTCCGTCCCTCTTAATCGCACGCAAACATGACAAAATCCAGTCAAATCATGCCCAAAACATGCAAGGCAATGATTGGACAATTCAGTCCACTGTTGGATTGAACCTGTCAGATCTGGTTTCAATCCAACCCCAAACCTCTTATTCTCCTCAATTTCATCCTTCAACATTTCTAATTTAGTCCATGTTCCATTTAATCTTTTCAATCCATCCCTCCAAAATTTTGATTTAAGCCCTAAACTTAAAATTACCGCAATTAAGCTCTCCCAAATTTCAATTTGACTCTCAAAACTTTTAATTGCTACAATTAGGCCCCTAATCCCCAAATTAATTTAATAATTCTCTAATATTTTCTAATTACGGTCATAACATACTAATTCTCAAAAAAAACGAGAAATCTTTTTTAAAAAAATGTGTATCATATGTGTGAGTCTATGTAAATCTAATAAATGTCGTTTTTTGATAGATTTTATGATTCAAAATATTTAAAAGTAAATTATAGAGACATATTTTATAATCATCATTTTTATGTATAACCAAATCCTTAATTATGTATAATCAATATTTTAGTTAAATACTGAATTTACTCAAATATTGAATTTATTTGATATTAACTTTTAATTCACTAAATCAGAAATTATAATATTTGTTAAATTAATATTAAAATAAATATATGATATTGACGTGATAATTGTTAGGGTGATTGACTTACTGGTCCTATCCTTTGGAAATTAATTCTTGTTGAATTGACTTCTTTGCATAAACAATTCGCCATAAATAGATTTTTTAAAGACCCAAAAAAACCTATGATAATAAATAAATTTAAGAAAAATATTATAATAAATAATAAAAATTAATATATACAAGTGAAACCTTTTACTTATATAAAATTTCTATTTTTATAGTGAGTTGTTAGACACTTTTATATTACTCAACTTCCTTTTTCATCTTTTCCAAACTATTTTAATTTTTTAAATTTTATTTTTTTATTTGTAATTGCAACAGATCTTTATAACCATGTTATCATTTCATTTTCGACAAAATCCTAAAGAATTTTCTCTTATTTTGATATATTTTAAATAATTTTCATTCAACTTGACTTGTTTAAATTTGTATTACTTTCTTTGGATATCATTATATCTTGTAAGCATTTTTCTTTTACATAATCCCACTAGGTTGATTGTTAATTTTTTTTCTCTGATAAAATATTCTTGTTTTTTCAATGGCATATTATTTTCACAAAATCCATATTCATCAAAAGTTCCGCGTTTTTAGTCCACGTGGGACGGCGGAGATGTTATTCTAATGACAACTCTTCAGTTTAGAAAATATTATTTTATAGCAAGATATTAAATATTCAAGTGTTATTTGTAACATTGATGAAATTATTCTTTATTTTTTTCGTCCTTAATTTTGTGGTACCAATAAAAATGCAAAAGCAAAAGAGAAGAAGAACATTCCATTGGGTTTGTTGGGCTTTCTGGAAATAATTCTTTAGTTGCCAAGAATGTTTAAGGATTGTTTGAAGGCGGCCGAAAGGTTGGTAAGAGAGTGACGAAAGGTGGATTTGAGCTTGACCAAGTCTGAACCCGCCTATCCATTATTCGAAAGCCGAGAGGTTTAATTAAACTCTTAAAACAGGATTTAGTAAGAGTAAATAATTAAAAATTTATAAGCCACTTTCATCATCATGTGTAATTAAATAAGAAAACAATTTCATCTAAATTTAATTTTTTCAATGTTGTTTTATCTGAACTCATTTTTTCAAATTCACCTTTTTAAAATTTATTTTGTCTAATACAAATTTATTTTATTTAAGCCCATTTCTCTCAATTTTTTTTTAAAATTATTTTATTTAAACTCACTTTCTTTAATTTACTTTTTATAAATTGTTTTATTTATATTCACCTTATATAGAAAAGTAAATCAGAAATGAACTTGAAAAGTAGTTTGTTACATATTTTTTTAATGGAAAGTAATCTGCAAGGGGATTCACATTGCACACGACACGGGATGACGAGTCGATCTGAACTCATATTTTTTTAAAACGATTATTCCCTTAAAAATTTCTTTTTCTTATCTTAAGGTTAATATGGAGTTTTAAAATCATAATTTATCATTATAATTGAAAATAAATAAATTATTAATATTAACTCAGTGCTCCTCAAAAGGTTTTTGTTAGATTAGAAATTTGAATCTTGCTTTACATCTCTTCTTCCCGTGAAAAAAATAAAATTTACAATCGTCAAAAATTATAAAAATTAATGAAACGGCTAGTTCGCAACTTGACAATACCATTCTGTAGAAAATAAAGACGCAATGTGGCTTCAACTATGAAAACCATTTATTAGAAATACTATTTCTTCGTTGACTTTAGACTTCATGCGATGGACGATCACCTACGCCAAAGGAAACTTCTCATTGTTGAACATTTCCCAAACACCAATTCAGCAACCGTGGCCTACTTAAAAACAAAGCTCTGTTCTCTCAGGTCATGAATTTACTCACAGCTATGGGACTTCAGGGCCTTTCGATTGAAAATCTCTTTTCGCACCTTCTGCTATTTTCTCTCTTCATCACGACATTTTACTTTCTTCACACAATTCATCCGTCCTCTGCCCTGGGCTTTAATCTCACCAACATAGGCCCACAAGACCAGAACGTGCACATCAAAACCTTCGCAGATGCTTACATTTCCCTCCAAGGCATCCTGGTCGCCAACGACGAGCGGGGCAGCAACTTGCAACAGAGGGCAGGTAAGGCCGTGTACGCTCATCTACTCCCCCTCTGGGACAAGGCCTCGGGAAATCTCACGAACTTCACCACCCACTACGTCTTCGTAATTGATTCGACAAATAATTCAGATTTTGCAGATGGGCTTGCCTTCTTCTTGCCTCCCATGGGTGCTAATTTAAGTGCTGGTGGTGCCATGGGGCTTCCCATTGACCCTAGGAACGGAACAGCCACAAGCTCTTTTTTTGCTGTGGAGTTTGATACATATCAGAACCCTTGGGACCCTCAGCACATCAATCCTATTACCCATGTAGGTATTAATATCAATTCTCTTACATATAATGTTACGGCAGTTTGGTATAATGATACACCTCGTGGATAGAGAATGAGGCTTGGATCAGTTATGATTCTGGTTCCAAGAACTTGAATGTCATCTTCACAGGTTCTAGAAACAATACCAGAGTTGAAGGAAGCCTCCATTTACTAGTTGATCTAAGTTACTTGCCAGAATCGGTTGAGTTTGATTTCTCAGCTTCAACAGGAACCAATTTCGAGAAAAATAATGTGAAGTCTTGGCAGTTCAGTTCTAGCCTGCAAATTGACGAAAATCCAGTATCTCCTCCACCTTCATTGCCAGCAAGGAAGAGAAAGAAGAGATATAAATGGGCTTTCGGCGTGGGATTGACCGTCGGATCGTGTGCTTTAGTGGGTTTGATTGGATTGGGCTTGTGGAAGATGAGAAAAGGAAAAGAGGAGGAAAATTTTGGTTTTGATCCGTCCATTGAAAGTGCATTTGAGATGAGTAGTGGGCCGAAGAAGTTCTCCTACAATCAGCTATCTCGGTCAACCAGCAATTTCGCAGAAGAATGAAAGCTTGGAGAGGGTGGCTTTGGAGGGGTCTATAAAGGCTTCTTAAGGGAACTCAACTCCTATGTGGCTGTGAAGAGGATATCGAAAGAGTCTGTTAATTTTAAAAAACTGAAATTATACTTTGAAATTAACTTATCTCAGATTATTTTGTAGCAAAAATTTTTAAAACGATTCTTTTCTACTTGCTTTTTATCAAGATAAAATCACGTCGGATTAAATCTTCAGATTTACAAATTATATTGCTTTTGATGTGTATTTTGGAGAGAGTAATTTTGTGTGAGAAAGAGAGAAAGAAAGATACGTATTGAAAATTTCAACCCTCATTTCTCTATAAAAACATATATTTATAAGAAAATGAGGGAGTTATGGGAAGTTACAACTTCCCTTTTAATTTAAAATCAAACGGGTTGGGTTGACCCGTTACGAGTGGATCAGATCGATCCTATATTTCCAACATCTCTCACTCACACGTGACATGGTCAACAAAGACCATTGTCATCTTAACACATCACGATTTTCATACTAAAACAAATAACTCGTGCGACCAGCAAGTATACTTGAGTATTCTGTTATGTATCGATTAGGAGTACATAACTACTCGTTTGAAAAATTTACATATATATATATATATTTATAGTATCTTGCCATACCCCAAACTAATTCTTTATTACATTAATTCAAGCATTTCTAATCCCTCAACAAAAAAAAAAAAAATGATTGACTCACTCTCAATGTAATCATAATTATGTCATCCATACTAAATAGAATACATAATTGGTCGACCAATAAATACATATATGATGTTGATAATGTTTTGTCTTCCTTTTCAACAAATAACCTTCAATCTTCAATCAACTGTTTTCCTAAACATGTCTCTTTAAACTGAGTGATTTATGATTATAGACAATATGCTAAAATAGTAACACTAAATGGAAGTTTCAGATTATTGCCAAAAGTTTATAAGGGTATTTAATAAGATTTAATAATCTCAAGGGTCTCGCAAAGTAGAGAAGTAGGGATCGATTCTCCTACTAACCCTTTTTGTCGTTTTTTGACACATGTGGTATGAATCACATATTACGATGTTACCTCTCTCTTTAAGAGAGCGCATGTCAATATAACTTTTAATATCGTACAGATTTAAGTTCAAACACAAATCAATGTTTAACCTGAGTTCTTCTCACTTTCTAACCTTATCAAGAACTCATACCCGACTTCTATAACAGGTTAAGTAAATTGTATCACATAAACATTTACTTCAATCATTATGACTAAAAATGATCTCATCTTGACTCTCTCCCATTTATCAAGGCGATGATTTTATTTTGAGTCAATAAATATACTTATTATATCTGACTCAAAATCATCTAATCTCTTCGTACACTTAGTATTAGAGTCGATTGTCCATGCAAGAGGACCAATCTTAAAACTTGTTGACATGCTTTTTATGCACTTATGAACACAATTTAAATATATATGTGTGTGCTTTAAAGAATCATGGCATATCTAAACAAATTCTCTTTTTATAAAGAAAAATTCATATAATTTGTTCACAAGTACATTATATTCTTTGTAAGCCCATAGATCTAGCATGATTTATATATACATCACAGACTAATGGCTTAGTAAAAGGATCAGCTAACATTTAATTAGTGGAGATATATTGCAATGTTAATTTGTTTCTAGCAATAATATTTCTCACATACTAATAACGAATATCAATATACTTAGATTTACTGTAATATTTTAGATCCTTTAAATAAGCCAACGTAGCTTGATTATCACAATAAATTAAAACAGGTCTCTCACTTTTATTAGTATTACATAAATGCTCTAAGAATCTTTTTAACTAAATAGCTTCTTGTATTGCTGATGAACATGTTACAAACTCGACTTGCATCATGAAAAGGGCTACGCAGTTTTGTTTCTTGTTATACCAACTAATGGCTCCACCATTTAGTAAAAACATATGACCAGAAGTAGATTTCCTCTAATCTAGATCTCCAGCCCAACCAGCATCTGAGTATCTTATTAACTTTGATTCTGATCCATGATAACATAAGTAATAATCTACTGTGCCTTTAAGATACCTTATTATCCTCTTTACTGCTTTTCAATGACGATTTTCAGGATTAGACTGAAAATGGCTCACCAAGCTTATGGCATAGCAGATGTCCAGTCTAATACACACCATGGTGTACATTAAACTACCTACAGCATTGGCATAAGGCTTTTTAGCCATTTCTTCTTTCTATTGAAGAGTCTCAGGACACATGTTATTACATAAGATTTCTCCTTTAACAACTAGGCTATCGAATGGTTTACAATCTTTTATTCCAAATCGTTCTAAAATTTTTTCAATATAAGATTTTTGTGATAAGCCTATTAGTCTTTTCGAACGATTTCTTATTATCTTGACCCCCAGAATGAAAGATGTTTCTCCCATGTATTTCATTTCAAATTGAGAAGACAACCATTCTTTAATTTCAATAATAAAGTGTTTATTATTTCTGGCTATTAGAATGTCATCCACATATGACATTATAACAAAATTTCCTTTAGCTCTTTAACATAGACACAATGATCTTCCTTAATTATTTCAAAGTCATACGCAATGACTGCGTTGTGGAATTTTGTATTCCACTATCTTGATGCTTATTTAAGGCCATAAATTGATTTCTTCAATTTGCATACTTGTGCTCTTGACCTTTAATAATGAAACCTACAAGTTGTGCCATGTAGATTTCTTCATCAAGATCGCCATTAAGGAAAGCTGTTTTTACATCCATTTGATACAATTCTAAATCAAACTGTGCCACCAAGGCAAGAATTAATCGCGTGGATGCAAACCGAACTACTGGGGAGAAAGTTTCTTGATAGTCTATACCTTCTTCTTGAGTATATCCTTTAGCAACAAGTTTGACTTTATTGTCCTTCATTGATTTTATCTTTTCTTCCATTGCACTCTCCCACTATTCCTTACCCAGGCAATTCAATGCCTCATCCACAGTACGTGGTTCTTTTTCCTCTACTGAAGCGACCATGAGAGCTTGCCTCTCAATGCCAAATCTACGACGAGGAATAGGTTTTCTTGAACTCTTTCTTAATTCAAGTTCTCGGGAAAAAGGTTCATTCAGTAACAAATTACATTTATTAGTTTGAGAGATTTGAGTTTCTTTTACAAACTCATCATTTAATTGATCTGTTTCATTTATCTCACAAAGAGAAAATGTTTGATCAATCTCTCCATGACTAAGAAACTCATTTTCGAGAAATATTGCATCTCGTGATTCAACTTCAGATATACTTCCATTTGTATATTCACTAATGAAAACATATCCCTTTGAACATTCAGAGTATCTAATGAAAACACATTTCTTTCCTCTTGGACTAAGATTCCTATATTTAGGAGAAGAGTATTTGACATAAGCAGTAGATCCCCAGGGCCTTAAGTTGCTTTAGTCAAGTTTTTTACCAGTCCACAGTTCATAAGGAGTTAATGGAACTGATTTAGAGGGTACTCTGCTAAGGATATAAATAGCTATCAGTAAAGCATCACCCCAATAGGTGATCAGCAATTTAGCTTGTGCCATAATCAACCTAACCATTTTGAGGAGTACGATTTCTTCTCTCAGCAACTCTATTTTGCTGTGGAGTTTCAGGAATAGTTAATTGTCGCAATATTCTATTTTAATTACATATTGTCTTGAATTGATTAGACAAATATTCTCTTCAACGGTCAGTTCTCAAAGTCTTAACTTTTCTCTCAAGTTGATTCTCAACTTCATTTAAATATTGTTTGAAACACTCAAGTGCTTCAAACTTTTGAGAGATAAGATAGACACGACCATAGCATGAAAAATTATCAAAAGATGTAATGAAATAAGAGACAACATGCCTCGCCCTCACATTCAATGGACTAAATATATCTAAATGAATCAATTGCAATGGACTTTCAGCTCTAGTAGTTTTGCCAAATAGTTTACGAGTTATTTTTCCCGCAAGACAATACTCGCACATAGGTAAGTTTATTTTGGAATAGGTCCTAAAAGACCTTTTTTAACCAATCTATTCATTCTGTCTTGCCCAACATGTCCTAGTCTAGCATGCCAAATTTTATCATCCACAGTAGCATTACTAGAAGAGGCAATTAGTAAAAAACAATTACCATTAGTATTACAATTTCGTTCTACATCAAGAACCATAAAACTATTGGATAAAAAACCAAATGCAACTTCAGTGTTGTTGTAAATAATGTCAACACACAAACCATGAAAATTTAAACTAAAACCCATCTTAAGCAGTGCTACAACAGATACTAAATTCTGTCGAATATCTGGAGCATAAAGAACGTCATGCAAAAGAAAAGTTCGGCCACCACGCAATTTAACTTTGCAAGTGCCAACTCCTTTAACTTCAATCCTTGCATTATTTCCCACATAGATACTTTTGCTCCCTGCTGGTACTCGATGGTACTCCACATCAATGGCACGATCTCTAACTACATGGTCTGTGGCTCCCGAGTCTATAGTCCATAAAGAATAAGAGTCAGTAAGCAATACACTGCTGGAAACATTTATCTCACGATGAGAATAAAGAGAAAATATTACTTTCTTTTGTTTAGTACATTCTCGAGCAAAATGACCTCTCTAGTCACAATTGTAACATTTCAAATTGGCTTTCTTTTTCTTCTTTCCAAAGAATTTGCCTTTACCCTTGTACCTCTTATTTGAGCTAGTATTATGATCATTCCATTTCCCTTTCCCTTTCTTTTTTCCAATTGCATTTGTGCTTGAAATTTGAATGAGTCTTAGAACTCTCAGCAACATATAATTGTCTAGTTGCCTTTATAGAATCGAGGCGCTCAGCCTCCAATTTTACATGACGAGCTACATCTAAAAAAGTCTTAATGCCTTCATTGTGGGTCAGATTCTGTTTCATTGTTTCTCAATTATCTGGGAGGGAACGGATCACAACTTGTACTTGTTGTTCATTAGTCA